ATACTACAAAGACATGCCTTTCTTGTTTATAGTGATTTAAATTTTAACAGGGGTCTCCCTGGTGGCCTAGGGGTTAAGTCTCAGCACTATCACTACTACAGCTGAGTTCAATCCCCAGCCAGGGAGCTAACCCACAGGCAACAGACATTCTATAGTCATGCTTGCTGCTCCCCTCTGCAGTGTATTTCAGTAGATTCGCCTGTTCTGCTTCCCATTCTGTCTCTGGTGAATCCTCTCACCCCCCACATCTCTCGCCTATACCTCAGTTCTTCTATGCATAAATAAATGTCTTAAAAATGATAATAAAAATAAACAAATTTGTATCAGTCCTTTACTGTAGTACTGCTCAATGGAAATTGGATGAGTCCTGAACTTTTATTAATCTTTGGGTTACCCAGGAGCCTATCCCCATACCATGTTTAGAAAATTACCCACTATGGCAGAAACAAGCTAATTTTTGAAATAGAAACCCTTTTATATTTCCTCCCGGTATGCAGACAAAATTCCCCAGTTTCTCTTGCAGTTGTGTCCATTCTGGACCACAGAGTACAAGAGCAAGTGATAAATCACAGGCTCAGGCCTGACCTGTAACAATCTTCCATGCAATCCTCCATTCTCTGCCAGCTTGATATGGAAGCTCAGAGAGACCTCAGAGCAATGTGCTAAGGAATAAGCAATGATTTCATTAGCCAGAATTACTTTACCAATCCCTAGCTCTCATTCATTGGACTCTATGTGAGTACAAAATAAATATATGCTGTGGTCATTGATAGTTGATGCTGAACTATTAGAGTAGTTATTGTGATTCCAATGAAAGCACCCACATAATGAGTCTTGGAGAGAGGCAGAGATCACCTCCCATAATAGGAACTGACAAGTCAAAAGCTCTCTCTCCCACTCTCGCTTGCATTTGCAGTACATGTGTGTGATCTCAGCTTTATTGATCAGATATTGACAAATGAGGTGGTGACCCAAAGAAGTAAGGCTTGCATGGAAGGATTCTGGAAAGGAGTTGGTGGAGGGGATGTTCATCCAGTTTCCAGAGGCAGCACCTGTAGCAGCAGAGTCCAGTACCCAAGGTCCAGGTGTCCATGAGGTGAAGGTAGTGCTCGGGTCCACCAATCAAGGTGTAACCACTTCACAGATCAGTACTACTGTGTGATTTTAGATGCTGCTCTGTCTGACAGCACCTGGCCTGCTTCTCTGGTCTTCTCAGAAAGTCTGTGCTCTGTGCAATATTACCTTCCAATAAACCCATCTCTTACTTAACTTAGAGTTGATTTCTGTTGCTTGAAACTAAGAATTCCTCTTGATATAAATGCATACTTCTTAGGGAGAAAGAGAGAGACAGGCCTCCTTGCTCCCTGGCTTGGGGGAGGCTGGCTTCCCAAGGAATAGTGGCTATTTCCTGAGTCAGCCCATGCTGTGAGCCAGTCATTTCCCCACTGATGACTGCAAGTACTCTGTGGGAGGGAGAAACAACACATATGTGCCAAAGTAGGTTAAATTTGACCAAAATAAAGCCTACTATTTGAAAAAATAGGGAATTGGATAGAAAAGTGAAATGCTGAAGAGCAATCTTAGGACAATATCCAAGGAAGTGACAGAAAGCAGATCTTCCCTGGGAAAATAGATTAGATGCCATGAAAAGATAGGGAACAGTACATTCATTTTAGGTCAGCTGGATTCTTCCTGCAACAAAAGCATAATTTAGATTTTGTCAAGCTACATGCTCTCTTAATAGCTCTGTGTTCCAACTACGGTAGAGGTAGGTCAAAGAAAATGTGGTGTACCAGAGTGGGTGGTATCAGGGCCATTTATTGGCGTTTTCAACTCAAGATGTCATTTTGTGCTTACTTCACCCTTACAGCCAGCTTACATTTCAACTGTGATTGGCAGGAGGCAGGAAAACTCCAAGGCCTCTGCCTCATGCCCACCACATGCATGCATATAAGTTCTGAGTTTCCTGCCACATTTTACGTGATGGAATATCAGGAGTATGGTATATTGTTATGAGATTGGCTTCCAGTCTGTCATGTAACATGATGAGGCCCCTTTTCTGCCACTTGAATCTGAGCTGTTCTAGGGAATTACTTTGGCCTATTGTGCCTGTCCTGGAGGCTGGACAGTAAGAGGCCTCTTAGTACCTGTGTTCTCCTATTCTTAACCCTGAGACCACCTGCCATGAAGATGCCTCATCCAGCCAGCTGGAGGCTGAGCAACTACTGAAGGAGGGTCAAGATAGCAAGATTGGAGAGGCCTCCCTGGTGGCTCAAGGGGTTAGGATGCAACCTACGGAGCTGTCCGCAGTCACTTCAGCATGAGTTCGATCCCCAGATGGCCAGGGAGGTGACCCACATGGCACAGCAGACCTCTCCTGTCTCACCCGCTGCTCCCCTCAGCAGTGTATTTCAGTTACTCTGCCTGTTCTGTTCCCCGCTCTATCTCTGGTGAATCCTCTCACTCCCCCCACCATGCCTCTGGCCTATACTCTGGTTCTTGTATGCATAAATAAATAAATCTTAAAAAAAAATAGCAGGATTGGAAACAGCTCCAGATGCGACCCCTTGGACTTTCAGCTGCCAACTGAACGCAGCTGTATGAGCAATGTGGTCTAAGATGGGCAGAACTCCCAGCCAACAACGTAATAGTGAAAAGGAATACACCCATGTCATCTCAGGATGACAAATTTCAATTCTATTGTGGTTGGTTTGTCCGCCCCCCAAAAGAAAAAAATTTATATAAGGTGAGGTCAAAACATTGAATGCGGTAGATTAAGAAGAACCCCTATTTATGAGGAGAAAGACACAGACAGAGCGGTCAAGTACTGCAAACTTCCAAAAGCTCATTGACTTTGAATCTTCTAAGTCAAAGACTAGTTTCCTAAAGAAGCAGCCACAGAAGACTTATGATAGAAACTGTAACTCAGATTCCATAAGATTAACTCTAAAGTTCTTCCTTTGAATTCTAGGAAAAAACAAAAATTCACAAGACAGACATTTCTATTGTGTTCTTACACGGGAGACACTTAATTTCTGCCACTTTTCCTATGACATTTTCTAACATTTGTGCAAAATTTCAAGGGCATATCATTTTTTGGATTGTACTGTAGAAGCTAACTAAGCATTATTCGCATGGTCCAATAACTGTTTCCAAAATAATCTCCCTAAATTACATTCCTGAAGTGTGGAAAGATACACAGAATACACACCTGAATCACAGAACCCACTGCTCTAGAAAAACAAAACTTATGTACAAATTTATTTAGGAATGCTATTTAAAAGAATGGCTATTATTAGTCACAAAACTAATAGTTAGTATGTATCATCTAAAGAACCAAAAGACTGGGCCTCCCCGGTGGCTCAGCGGTTGAGCGCTGGGTTGCGAGGCTGCCCGCGGCCTCTGCGGCGCCGGTTCCATCCCCGGCTGCTCCCCGGCCATCGGAGGAGGGTCCCGCATGGCACGCAGACCTCTCCTGCCGCCTGCTGCTCCCCTCAGCAGTGTACTTCGGTCCTTCTGCCTGCTCTGCTCCCCGCTCTGGCTCTGGTGAATTCTCTCGCCCTCCCACGCTTCTGACTGTACCCAGTGCTTGTATGTATAAATAGATAAATAAATCTTTTAAAAAAATAAAGAAAGAACCAAAAGACTTGGTACTCTTTAGGTTAAAGATATGTGAAATAATGGCAATGTGTTCTTGGTTAAAAGGTCTCTTTTGTCCACTGTGAGGTTGTGAATAATGATGACTTGGCTCCTGCTTGGGCAGCTACAAACATTGCTAAATGACCTTCCCTTGTCTGCTTTTGTCCCCTTCTAGAACATTCTCCACATAGGTACCAAAACAATTTCTTAAAGTGTGAATTAATCATTCCCCTTCAAACCCCACACATGGGTCTCACTACGTATACAGAATAAAACGCAACCCCAGCACTGTGGCCGTGAGGACCCATGTGACCTGTTTTCACCTTGTCTTCTGTCATGTTGTGCCCAGCTTGCTCATTAGAGCTCATCCCGGTGGTCCTCCTGAGGGCCGGGATGCTCCCCATTGCTCCTGACTCATACTTTTAGCACTGCTCAGTGCCCAACCTGGGACATCTCTTCCTGTTCTCTTTAGGCTTCCCTGACTAATCCATCCAATGTGGCACCACTCACCCTCAGCCTCACAGAGAGTTTGGTCACAGAACCTGAATTTCCCTCCTAACACTTCTCCAAGCCACAATCAGTTTGCTCATATTTTTACTTGTTCCCATATTTTCTACTTCTCCCACTGCAGTCAACCATCAAACATCTTTAAGGGAAGAAGGACCCTTTCAAGTCAAGTTTCATTGTGTTTCCAGTGTTAGAACATTGCTCAGCACAAAGGATGTGCTGGAAAAACATGTATGACATGAAAGTGCACCCAGAGAATACAGGAAAAAGAAACATGAGGACCTCTGTTATGCCCCACCACACAGCTCCAGCACCTGACTAAGGAAAAACTGGGGTCACACTTCCAAGATTGAATGGTGTGCATTCAATTATATGACCTCATTTAAATCACACATCAACTTTATGAGGCAACCAATCTTCTCATTGTCACACAGTCAGGACAAAAAGAGTTCACAGACACTGAGTGACTTGTCCCCCGTAGAACACAATACTGGTAACCCCCACGACCACGTTCTGCTTTAGTTCCAGCTGTTTCCACATCGAACCCATGCATGTTCCACCACTTCCTGTTGCTTGGGTTTTCCCAGGAGGATTGAAGCCTAAGTTGTGACTTGCTGTTTCAAAGGTTTCCACCAGATTATATCCTAAACTTCATCATCCCCTCAGATGACTGGGGTTTACTTGCAGCAGAATAAAGGTAGATAAAAGCAAATAATTAATGGTGGTTACAACAGGCTCCCTAATTCTCATTCTGTAGGACAGGCATCAAATTCTTTTATATTGGTGACTTCTAATTAGAGATTCACATGATAATTAACTCAATGGACTGACTTCCACAATAATAGGATTCTTACCTCGGAATTCCAGTCCCCGAAGTTGAAAGGTAACAAGACCATTGCCGATTTCAATTAGATGAACGAAAGCATTGAGATAATCTGAAGCCAAAATAAAGCAATCGCCGGAGCTGTAGTTCCCCCATCGACCAAGGACCAAGTCTCCACAGAGAGACTCCTGGAGGGCCCGGGTCAGGTGCTCATAAAAGATGGAATTGAGATTGTTGTCATCATTCCCTATAGACAGAAGAAGAAGTACGGTCAATGAATGCTGACTCCCCATGTACTCAGATCGATGAAATAGTCATTTGATTAAAGGTACGTCAGACTTTTCAGATCCTTTGCCTATTTTAATGGACTATGTGAGCTCTTAATATTTTTCCATCTGTACTCTTTCTGGGCAAGCTCATCTATATAAATGGACTCCAGCTGGGGCCTCTTGTCTATACTCTAGACCTGTCTACTTACTTGTCTACGTAACATCTCTTCCATGTCTAGAATGTGCCCCAACTTCAACATGTCCATATCTGGTCTCCCTCTCAATTCTCCCTTTGTGAACGGGCCCATCCTCCAGTCAGCCATAACCTCAGGAATCCTTATTTCCATTCCTTCATACCAAGATTCTCAATTTTACTTTATTCAAAAAAATTTTATTTCTTTTTGCACTGTAGGACCTGTGGGAAAACAGTTTTCTCTAACTGTTTTCACCATGACCTTCCAGCACAGGTGGCCTAGTACATAACATGTAGCCTTGAGATGTAGTCAGTCCCAGTGCAGAAAGCAGTAGATAATAATGTAATCTTGATGCATAGTTTGCATATATATTATGTCATATACACATAGATATAAATTTTTATATTATATATGGGTGTCATTTACTGTTTTTAAAATATCACATATATATATATATATATATATATACAGCTCAGATTTATTGGAGTAATTTATGCAGAATAAAATTCACCCTTTTTAGTGTATAATCCCGTGAGTCTTAAAAAATCCATATAGGGCCTCCCTGGTGGCACAAGGGGTTAAGAAGCAAGCTATGAAGCTATCTGCAGCCACTACCACACAAGTTCGATATCCGGCCAGGGAACAACCCACATGGTGCAGCAGCCATCTCCTGACTCGCTCCGCTGCTCCTCTCAGCAGTGTATTTCAGTCAATCTGCCTGTTCTGTTTCCCACTCTGTCTCTGGTGAATCCTCTCACCACCCCACACCCGCCCCCTCGCACCTCTGGCCTGTACCCCAGTTCTTGTATGCATAAATAAATAAATCTTTAAAAAAATCCATATAGTCATGTAGCCACAGCTTCAAATAATGCATCTGAGATTAAAGAATACCTTTGCACATACAGCAGCTGGTTTTGCTTCACTGGTGAGCAGTGTTCCTGTGTAAGCTGTGCTATAGTTAGTTTAGCCATTGAAGTTCTTTCCTGATTTGGTGATTATGGCTAAATCCACTAAAAATATTCACAAATGGAAGTTTATGTAAGTTTTTGTTTCTCTTGAGCCAATACCCAGGAGTGGGATCACTGTTTTCCAAAGTGGCTGCAGTTTCTACTTCACAGTGACCAAGACTTCCAGTGCATCCTTGCCAGGACTTGGTATTATCAGCTATTTCTTGCTTGTTTGATTTTAGTCTTCCAATTGAATGGGTGATGACACCAAAGGAAGAGTGAAGGAAGGATATAGTAAAGGAGACGGAAGGATGGTATACCCTGCTTCCCCACAGAAGGTATGCATTTCAGGGGGCACAGAATTGAGGAATTGGGAATTAAAGGTATATTTCTTTTTAATCTCCTGCTGGGTCCTGACTCATTTCACTCTCTCTATTGGGGCTTTCATGACTAAGAATAGAAACCACGGAAGAGAAGACAAGGTGAACTGGGAAGTCCTCTTGGTTGATGTGCTTGGGCTAGAGGAAGTGCTGAGAGGGACTGGAGAGGTCTGCATTCTATACTTTTATTTTAGGGAATACCTTTTCTTTGAGGATCAAGTCATGGCCCTGGAAAGCCAGAGATGTATAGAAATATCCAAAAGAGAAAATGCCTATAGCAAACCCAAGGGTCCCTCTGAGACTATCTATTGGAGGGATGCTGGGAGATAGAAGATAAAATCTACAGAGTTGAACAGAGCTCCCCACCTGTAACCTCAGGACCCTGGGCACAAAGGGCACAGGAAAGTAAAAATTGATCCCAAGTGCACCTATATGATCTATCTCTAAGTAACTTATAATTCTATCAAGTTACGAATGCGCTTGCTAGACATTCATGAAAGCTAAAAGTAGAAATGAAATTAGAGCACTTATAGCCTAATTATGATTAATGGGCAGAAGTGGTCCTATGCACTGAGTCATGTCATCTAAGAAAGTATCCGTATACTTAATCTTCTATGCAGATTAAGCCTGCTTGACCAGCCAATATATTCATTTTCTATGATAAATCAGCATACATCCCGAGACACTAATTAGAGATGACTTTGAATCTCTGACACTTTATCAGAAAGACCTCAATGAAGGAATTAACTTTTGCTTAATTATTTAACCTGCTTGATGTTTAAATAAAACAAAAAAGTTTAAACCACTAAAAATGGAAATCTTCTTAGAACACACTGACCAATATCTGCACAATTAGATTAAAGTGAGATAACAATTACAGATAACTAAAGGCAGGGTGTGCCTGGGAAACTATCCACATGCCTCATATTCAAGACTCTGCAATGTCATAGAGCCCCAGAGATGCACCAGGTTGTACTGACATAAAACTCAACAGAAAAATAAAGTAAACCTCTCTCTAAGTATTTTCAAATCAATCATGTATATGTAATTCAAATGTAGATAATGAGAATGGTACAATTTCTTCTAGACAAAATTTCTAGCCCAGAGGAGAAAGTGAGGTGGATAAAAAAAAGGAACACTTAAATTTACACTGTGACATATGGGGAAAGGAGAGATGATGAGATAGATTATGGAAAGAAAAAAGTGAAACAATTTTCTAGCAGATAACTCCTTCTATAGCTTGATATTGAATGAAGTTTCTGAAGGCTTCCGGATGCTGGATCCTGGGATGGGTTGCCTTTAAGGATATCATAATGCTGATGTTTTTCCAAATAAGTTTTTGCTAAAAGACTAATACCCAGGTTTATTGTCTATATTTGATGCTAACATACACAAACTAAAATGTCTTACTTGACAAAATCATTCATTAATGAACAGGGACCTAATCAATCCAAAAAATAAAGAAATGCATTTCAAACCAAATCAGGATGCTTGATCGAGCTACTTGCATAATTTCATTTTTACAGTCAGCCTGTTTACCAAGGCATGCATGTCTCCATAATGATTAAAAAGTGTGAGTACTTAATCCCCCTTTCTGGATTAAAAGAATTTATCTAGATAACATAATAAGTAACTATCAGTAGTTTAAAGAGAGAGAAGGAAGTGGTCTTCTTACCTGGATCCTTTTCAATTTGGACCACCAGCCTTGTGTTGGAATTATCCACACGCCTTGTGCTAGCAGGGACCACAAAAGGGTAAAAAATCATGATTAGAACCCTACCAATGAGAGCTGGCTTACAGAATCAGCTGTGTGAATGGGAAATGCAGGCTTATAGCTTGCGTATTATTTAACAATGTTATGTTAGAGAAAAAGGAGGGGGAAGAAGGCATAGAAAAGTACAAGAAGTGATTATTAGGGTACAGGAAGGTAAAGATTGATCCCAAGTGCACCTACATGATCTACCTCTAAGAAACTTATAATTCTATCAAGTTATGAATGTACCTGCTGAACATTCAGTGTAGGGAAAGTGATTATTAGGTCTCAGGATTTGGAAGACTGACAATGTGCCCTATTGATTTTAGCACCAGAATGACAAAAATAGCAAGCACTTGAACTGCCAATGGTCTGTCACTCACTTTCAAAATCTGAGCAGGGCACCCACAGGTACCTTTCTTCTCAAATTGATCACAGGAAATCGTGGTGAGTAGTCACTGTTTCCACCACTTGCTTTGCACCAACTGGGTTCATTCTCATTAGCTTTTCTTGGGTTGAACCACAAGAATAAAAACAATTCTCACACTTAGAAGAAGACAGATCAACAGTTGCTCTGGTAACAAGGGGTCACCAGCAACAGTTTTAAATCTCTTCAATATTGACAACTATCCTCAGTTCACAGCTTTTGCAAGTCAGTCAATCCCTGGTGACCGCCCTGCTTCTGGAAATCAGTAAGTGAGACACAAACGTACTCCAGACTTCTGAGTAGTGACAGCAAATCTCCCCAAGTAATTACCTGTGCAGGTGATATCAACACACTTGTGCTTCTAAAAATTCTTGAGCCCCTGAACTTTGCACCGTCAAAACCCAGCAATGAGTATGATAGCCTACTCTGCTTGGAAAGACTGTGCCTGACCAGAAAGACTGTCTTGTTATTTCAGATATTGAGCAGTGGGTTCCTCATCCTTTGTGGAATGAAATATGAAATCCCATCAATGATATTCAACTGCTTATAACCTACCCAAATGGCAATTTCATATGCTTAAAACTAAGCCATTAATAAAGACTTTCAGTTGAAATATATCATTGAACACAATGAGGGTCCTAATAAAGTGTAGAAAAACTAATCTTTAGCATATCTTGCCCTGGCCTTTGCTATCTCTTGCCTCTTGCTTTCTATCCCCCAGCCACGCTAGCCTTCTTTGTCCCTGTCTCCAATGTGCCCCACATCCTACACCTGTCACCCCTCCCTCCTTAGAACCCATTCACCTTGGAGTTCACCCTTTCCAGTGCCACCCATTTTTCCTCATCTATTCCTCTCATCCTTCAAGTCCAGCTCAAGTATCACCTCCTCTGGGAAGTCTTCCCTGATGCCTGCTCTAGGAGGCGTTCATGAGTCCTGTGCTCTGTCATTTACTGAACTTCCCCCTTGGAGCATTTCTTATGCTTAATATTACTAATGATGATGTCTATAAATTTAGGTAGCACTTACCTGTGCAAATACTTTACATGTATTAATTCATTGTATCCCCACACCTACCTGCTTAGGTAGGTTCTATTATTATGCCCATTCTCCCAGACAGAAAATCTAAAACAAAGTGAGAGTAAATCAAGTACCCAAGGTCAGAGCTAACAGGTGATAGAGTCAGTATTTGAACCCAGGTATACTGGCTCTGGTGTCTTCAATCCATATCACATCTGACATTTCTTTAAGCAATTATTTGATGCTATTTCTCTCCTACAACAGATCCATGAGGCAAGCTTTTTGCTCATAATTGTCCTGTATTAGTCACTTAGTATTGAATGAATGAGAGTCAAAGATTCTGTTACATCTGATTTTTTTTTCTCATGAGACATGCTAAGAAGAAAATAGACTAGCTATTGCAAGATTACACTTAAACATGATCATTGGCCTATCGAGCAGGACTTAATAAAGGAAGAGCACATGTTGGTCATGGTGCTTATGGAAAAATCTCAGGATGCACATTTCTTTTATGAACTTATCTGTTGGGAATCAGAACAGATAAAAAGATACTAAGATGGAACTATAATTTGAATGAAGAATGTGTTTTCAGAAAAAAAATTCTCTTTTCCTCACATGTCCCAGATATTTGAGAACCACCTAAGCAAGATCATATTTGAGTTTTGTAGAACAGATTCCACAGTTGCATTGGAGAGAAGGAATACTCTGTTACATCTCAAAAAGGCAGTTAACCCCAGCAAGCTGTTCTGTTGGTACCTCAATTTTCCTCCCAGATACCCTCAGATTGGCTTTGAAAATAAAAGAGCCTAGGGTGGCAGAAAATAAAGCAAACAACAAAGTTTTTTTCTAATGAAAGTTGAAATCCCTCGTTGGCATAGTCAGTTCCTAAATGGAATTTTAATTTCACCTTAAGACCTAGGACAAATGGAATTTTCAGAAGCAGTATAAACAATTTTTAAAGTGGGATTAAACCAAAAGAAAGTCATTTACCAAACTCCTTAGGGAATTAAAACACCTTCTAAAACTATGTTAACTGGAAAGCCATCTTTTTGAAAGGCTATGGGATGCAGAGTGTTAAATTCTGATCAGCAAGAACTAAGCAGATTTTCCTGTGTACCCCAGGGCCTCTGGCTCTCCACCAGACTCTCGAAGAAGGTGAACTGTCAGCCATACCGAGTAATTTGAGCGTGTCTCCAGTGCTTTCCATCTGTAAATTTGGTGCTTACCATTCAAAGGTGCTAATTAGCTCTGTAATTGGATTTCTGCCTTAACTGTCCTATTGCATGAATATCAATTCTGTTGCTCAAAGAGAAAATGGGGGCTCATATCTCACTCTTCTATCTCAAGGGGAGCACAGAATGCTGGTGTATGTCAGGTGTGCATCTGCATGTATACTCTTTTCAGCACTCATCTGGCAAAGTCTCTGCTCATTGCTATGCACATGCTCCTGTTAAAAGTCCAATAATGGGTCTTTCCAAGAAGCTGACTTAATCTGAAACATCCTTCCCTCATGTAGATAGCAAAGCTAGCTTTCTCCCTTCAAACTCTGCCTTCCACCTCCTGAGCTGTCTCTCCATGTCAGGCACCTTCTCTCTTACATGATTTCATTTGAGGAACTTAATAATTTAACAATGATTTTAAAAAATTACACTACTTCAAATTCCCATTTTTGCACACACAGAGACTATTTATCATAGAAGTAATGCCATTTTTGATGAGGACATCTGATCAGCTGGAACAAGCAGTTTGATGTGATCTATTTGTACCGCAAACCCAAGCTGGAGTTATGAATGGATTGTAGATCCAGCTATTCAAGGGGCAGGTCAAGCTTAGAGAAATGTGGATAATGAGAAAGCAGTCAGAACTTAATATCAGGACACTAACCTTTTAAGTTGTATATAAACATAAGGTTCATCTGGGTCTGCTTTTCGTCTTTAATTTAAGATGAATTTTTTCATCTTTAATTTTTGCCACTGATAACCGTATTAGTTCTCTTAAAGCCAATGACCTTTTTCTGGTGATTTGCTTCATAATGACTTGACATGGAAAGTTTCCTGAGGACACAAGACACAGGGTTGTATAGCGGATTGGGTGACCTCTGTCTGAGGTCAGATACTCAGGTGACTGCTAATCTTGCTACCATCTTGGAGGCTTGGTTTAGTTCGGCTCTCTGTTATCTTAGGCAGGGTGGTGTCCTAAATCAAAGGTAGGGGATCTTTGTCAAACACAACCACCCATGACAGGCTTGGTTTTGACTTCCTTTCCCTCAAGACCACAAAGCATAGCTGGACCTGGCTGTTCCTTCTTCCAGGTCAGTCAATACTCTTAGGGGAACTTAGGTGTAAGTTCACAGGTATTTGCCTTCCTGAATTTTAACCTGAATCCCTCCCTACCTTGAAGTTTTTAAGACATTTATTGGGTTTTATTTCTTTATTTCACCCAATTTTCCTTAGTTACTCTTCATAGGGAAGGTCTTGATTACCTAGCCTGTTACACAGAAATTAAACTACTATGATGGATTGTAGAGATTACGGAAAGGGGGAGCTTTTTAATTGACTATTTTATAATCAGTGTTTGTCAATGTCCTGTGGCTCCTTCAATCAGCACACCCCATTTTCTGTACATATATAGCATATGTGTGTGTGTTCTGTAATATGTATTTAGATAGCATTATTGAGTATGGTATTTAAATCTTCTCCATCTTTACCTAATTTATGATTACTTGAATGGTCATGAGCTAAGAAAAGTAAATTACATATTCTAACACTACTGTTTCATTTCTTACCAAATTTCCTTTTATGTTTTTCTGTATGAGTTTTATTGTGATCTACTGGATTCACATTTATATCTTCATTGTGAATTTTAGTCTTTACCATTATAAAATGTTCTTGATCCCAATGGGTTTTGCCCCAGATTCATCTGTATAATATTAAGCCACAACCTCTGCTTTAATTGCATTCTTTTATTCTTTACTTTTTCAAGTCATTATATATTTGATGTGCCTTTGTCTTGGGTGAACTGACAGATATATCTGATCCTATTCTGTCTTCATATTTTATGTTAAAACCAGTTATCTGATTTTATTGCTTCTTTGATTTTTATGCATGTTACTCTATGGTCTGACTGTAGAATCATAAAAACAATACTATAAAAAACATAAATGATAAGGCAAAATCATGAACAACTTTGTCCCAATAAATTAAAAAATTTAAACAGGTAATTTTCTGTAAAAGCACCAAAACTTAAGAAGAAAAAGAAGAGCAAATAGTTCAAAAACTTTAAAAATGGAGTCAGCAGTTAAATAACTACCCACACATAAAAAAATGCATACATCTAGAAAGATATACTAAAAAAGGTAGGGGGTGGGGTGGGTGAAAGAAAGAAAAGAGGAGAGGCAAGGAGAATAAAGGAGGGGAGGAGGAAATAAAGAGAAAATGTAAACAAGCATACTGAGAAATACATATTTTTCTATTGTTGCTACTTAGAGAAGATCTATTAGTCATACTGGTATTAGTATGTATTCTTTCTTGTTATTTC